ATGCCCCATCTTTGCAGCACAAAATCCTTGGTGTGTGTCTGGTGGCGGTAGGGAAATGCTCACCCGGTCTTTGTTTTACAGTGGTGTTTCTACGTCAGAGTCAGTCTATAAAGTGATGTTTGTTTTATTGTCTCGAAGGCAGTGTTCTGAATGTGACAAGATAATAAACGCCCTCGTGGAACAACACCTCCACGTGACTGATTTGGCGAGCTTTTGTTTATTACGGGGATTTATAATCCAAATTAAATTTGATAAAAATAACTTTTCGGTAATGTATTTCTCTCTCTTTTTTCCTCTTCCAAGCGAGCATAAAGGTGCCAGTGCTGGTTAGCTGCGTTTTAAACACTTCAGTCTTCAGAAATTATTTTCCTCGAGGGAGCCTGAGAACAATTTAAATCCAAACTGCGCATATTTGTGCTTTATGTACGCTGCGTAATTAGGAAAAAAAAGAAAGGGAAAATTTCTTAACCATCTTTATGGATGATCTGAGCCTGCGGGTTTGGCTGGCGGTGTCTGTGCGTTATCAGTGCTTGAGCCTGGCCTGGCTTGGTGCGAATCGTGGTTCACCCCTGAGGCTTTCGGGGAAAATCCTCCCTTGAACCGTTGCCCTTTTTCCGAGGCAGGGACGGCTCAAACCAGAACCGAGACAGCAGAGCCGAGGTCTCCTGTGCTGGGATGCTCCTCCGTGAGGCTGCGAGGTCCCCACTTGAGCAGCAGCGGCCGAACCGAAGCGCTGGGCGCTCGCTTGAAATTCTGGAGCGGTCTCGGCAGCTGAAGGTGGAGGAACAGCAGCTCGGTCTGAACTGGGGTCGGCAGCCGAGCAGTGGTGGCGCGATGGGCTGCGTGCTGTGCTCCTCCTCAGGACGGGTGTTTGCAGCCTGGGTTTGCTCTCGTGGAGAGCCTGATGGACGACAAGGGGCTGTTTGTCCAATTCATCTTCATTTAGACGCCGTCTCTTGCCTGGGATGTCGCTCTCGCTCAGGAATGCTTAATGTGATAACCTGAGAATTAGTGCAGCCTGTTTCCAGATGAGAATTCCTATCACTGGAGGTTTTTCTTCTTTGCCCTCTAGCAACAAGGAAGCCTCTTCTGGACACGCTCAGCTCCACGCTTCTGTCCGGTGAAAAGCAGCAGCAAACCCGTTTGCCGGTGAATCTGCTCTCTGCTGTGGGACGGCAGCAGGGCCTGGCCTGGGACACCGGGGTCAGCACAGGAACCTGGGCACGGGGATGGGAAAAGGCAGCAGTGGAAGTGCCCTGGTGAAGGGATCTGTGTTCCCTGCCCTGGTGAAGGGATCTGTGTTCACGTGCCGGCATCGCTCTGTCTACACTGCACTGTATTGATGCCAATGAGTTATTTTACCATGTCCCTCCAGAACAGGACAGGATTCTGTTGCTGGGATGATGCTGAGTGCAGAGTCACGTTTACCTCGGTTCAGGCTGGCACTCTGCTGCAAGGACAGCACAGAAATAAACTTCCTCAGTGAACAGGAGGAGTTTCGTTGTACACTGGGCATATACTGGTGTTCCATGCCATAAGATGCTGGCATCTTATCTTTAGGATGAGGTTTTTCTTGGCAAAGTGTGTTGAGATGCTTGAGTGGGTCACAAAAATGCAGTATTAGTGCATGTGAGAACAGGTAAGGGATGCTGCGGCACCGGAACAGTGTGATCTTGCTCCTGATCAGAAGCACAATTTATCTCAGGAGCTCTTTACGAGACAGGAGGCTCCCAAATGCGTTCTGGGCTCGCCAGGACCCTCTGCTCATCCTCCTGCACCCCTCCTTCCCCCAGGGATGCTCTGGTCTGTGTCAGCATTGCAGGGGCCCGTGTTTGAGCCCCCCTCCGGCACAGATGTCCCTTAGGATGAAATGGAAATGCAAAACGGGAGGGGACAATGAAGGCAGAGGAGCGCAGTGCTCCAGCTTGACGTGACAGGACCTCCTGCTGCTGCAGCTGCCGGCGCCAGCCGCGGAGCAGATTAATCTGTATTCCAGCACGCGGCGGCTGGAGTCGGGATCGATCTAATTAGGGCTTTTAAACACGGCCTGCGTGCTGCAGCCGTGCTGTCTGCAGAGGGGACGGCTCTGGGGCTCAGCAGGGCCATGGTGGAGCTGGGGACGTGGGCTGTGACCTGCCAGGACCTGAGGCTGGCACCGGGCACTGCGCTGTGACCTGCCAGGATGCAGGACTGGCACTGGGCACCATGCTGTGACCTGCCAGGACCCGGGACTGGCACTGGGCATCGCGCTGTGACCTGCCAGGACCTGGGACTGGCACCGGGCACTGCACTGCAGCCATGGTGGGGCAGAACGCAGCGTTTCTGCTGTCTTCCCATGGCCACAAATCTGTGAGGGTTTGGGGTGTTTGTATGGAAAAAGTGGCTGTGTGCTCCCTGCCAGCTGGGACCCGTTGTTCCCGTAGGGGAATCACTGGTGGTGCTGAGCACGGCTCGTTCTGGTGTTTGCCTTTGAAGGAAATAATGTAGTTCTGCTTAGAAACGGGGCCCAGGCAGCACCTCCTGCCTCTGGCCTTGGCTGCTGCCCTCCTCGACAATGACTTGTGCAGGTGATGGGGACTGAGCCTTGGCACCGCTCCTGAGAGGATCCCAAAACCCTGGGAGGGGGGCAGCCCCCCCGTGCAGCCCCAGGGCTGTTCCTGCGCGATGGTTTTGGACGCGTGGACCAGGCAGCGCGGTGGTTTCTGGAGGGATGCGCTGAGAGAAGAACCTCGCTCTTAAACCCCTGCGTCAGCTTCCTCGGGCTTCTCAGTGGTTCTCAAGATGTTATTGGGCTACAAAGATGATTTAGGGCTACAAAGATGATGGAGGGAGTGGAGCATCTCCCTTATGTGGAAAGGCTGAGGGAGCTGGGGCTCTTTAGTTTGCAGAAGAGGAGACTGAGGGGAGACCTCATTCATGGTTATAAATATTTAAAGGGTGAGTGTCACGAGGATGGAGCCAGGCTCTTCTCGGTGACAAACAATGATAAGACAAGGAGTAACGGACACAAGCTGGAACACAGGAGGTTCCACTTCAATTGGAGAAGAAACTTCTTCTCAGTGAGGGTGACAGAGCCCTGGCCCAGGCTGCCCAGAGAGGTTGTGGAGTCTCCTTCTCTGCAGACATTCAAAACCCGCCTGGACGCCTTCCTGTGTAACCTCATCTGGGTGTTCCTGCTCCGGCAGGGGGATTGGACTGGGTGAGCTTTGGAGGTCCCTTCCAATCCCTCATGTTCTGTGATTCTGTGATTGGTACAGCGGGTGAGTATCTGCATGTGAGCACCAAAGCGAGAACGATGGCTGAGGTGCATTTCCTAGCAAAGGAGTATTGGAAAACAAGCAATGAAGATAAATCACTGGTGAGAATATTACTTTGTCAACACTCCTAAACACTTACAAACAAAGGAGGTTTGGGAAAAAATGGTGCGAAACACAGAACGCTCGCTTCTTCCTGAAACAGAGCAGCTGCTGGCGTGTCTGTAAATAAAACCTGAATTTTGTTGGTTTTTTCACCTTAAGAAAATAGCGTCTTGCAAGGACTCGGGAGGTTTTTTACAGGATTTTTAATGCAGACGCTTAATTCGGTGGTGTTTTTTGTGGAGTCACCATTGAGGTGCGCGGCCGCCCCCAGCGCCGTCCCTCGGCCCCGCTTCCCCGTCGCGATGATGGAGCAGCCACCGGTAACCGCGTTACCAGCTCCCGCTGCCAGCTCCTTGGGACGTGAAACATGGGCAGCCTCGGGCACAAAGCTGTTCTGAGCAGGGCGCGTTTATAACCCGCTAACGAAACGGGGTGTGTGTGTGTGTGTGTGTGTGTGTGTGTGTGTGTGTGTGCAGCCTCCGCTCTCCCTGTCCTTGTGCCGTGCGTGGATCACGCATGTGGATAACGTGTGGATAATGAGCACAGATCACACGTGTGGATAACGTGCACAGATCACACGTGTGGATAACGTGGATTACACGCGTGGTTCATATGAGTGGATGACGTGTGGGTCATGCGTGTGGATAACGTACGTGGATCACGTGTGTGGATCACGCTTGTGAATCATGCATGTGGATAATGTGTGGATAACATGCACAGATCACACGTGTGGATAACATGGACTGCACACATGGTTAATATGTGTGGATAACGTACATGGATCATGTGTGTGGATCACACTTGTGAATCATGCATGTGGATAATGTGTGGATAACGTGCACAGATCACACGTGTGGATAATGGATTACATGTGTGGATCATGTGTGTGGATCACGCTTGTGAATGATGCGTGTGGATAATGTGCACAGATCACACATGTGGATAACATGGACTGCACGCATGGTTAATATGTGTGGATAATGTACATGGATCACGTGTGTGGATCACACTTGTGAATCATGCATGTGGATAATGTGTGGATAACGTGCACAGATCACATGTGTGGATAACATGCATGGATAATGTGCGTGGATCACGCGTGTGGATCGCACTTGTGACTCATGCATGTGAATAACGTGTATAGATCACACGTGTGGATCACACATGCGTGGATAACGTGCATGGACAACGTGCGTGGATCACACGTGTGGGTCATGTGTGTGTATAACGTGTGGATCACGTGTGTGGATAATGTGTGTGGATCATGTGTGTGGATAATGCGCACAGGTTACACGTGTGGGTCATGTGTGTGTATAACATGTGTGGATCACATGTGTGGATAACGTATGGATCACACATGTGCGGATAATGTGCGTGGATCATGCGTGTGGACAACGTGCGTGGATCACTCGTTTGGGTCGTGTGTGTATAACGTGTGGATCACGTGTGGATCACACATGTGTGGATAACATGCACAGATCACACATGTGGATAACATGCATGGATAATGTGCGTGGATCACACGTGTGGGTCACACGGAGGAGCCGTGGCAGCGGGAGCCGGGGCTCTTGCAGCCCGTCCCCACCGTGCCGCTGTGCCCCGTCCCCTCGCGCGGCTGCGATGGGCCGCGGCGTCTGCTGGTGGTGACGATGCAGAATCACAGAATCACAGAATCCCAGACCGTTAGGGATTGGAAGGGACCTCCAAAGCTCATCCAGTCCAATCCCCCTGCCGGAGCAGGAACACCCAGATGAGGTTACACAGGAAGGTGTGCGCTGCACACTTTGGTGGCGTCAGGCGATTATCCCTCTCCTCCGCACATTGCTGCTTCCTCTGAAAATGACGGCTCTTGACACCCCTTCTGCTCTCCCCGCCACTGCGGGTGAGGAGATGTGTGTGCCGTTACTGCTCATCAGTCTCAATCAGCAGGCCTGGAGTGAGGGCATCCTCAGAAATTACAGTTCTGGATATATTGAGATACCCAGACCCTCGGGGCTGGGCTAACGCGGACCCGCAGGCAGGGAGAGGAACCTGTGCCTTTCATCAGCTCTGCGCCTTTGTGCTTGGTTTGATTTCCCCACGTTAAACCGGATTCTCTGCTGCTGCCAGCGTCGCGCCTGGAGTTGATGCACGTTTTGCAGATGATTTGCATCTCCCGTGCCCGTGCAGGAGCGAAGCCAGAGGTGCAGGAGTGCGGTGTGTGGCCAGAGCATGAGGGCTGTAACCCCAGAGCTTGGCTCAAAATGCTTCAAACCCAGTGTGGATTTCTGTGTATATTGTGCATAAGTTGCACACAGAACTGGGGAATCCCTCTGGAGAGGCACAGACACAGAGATGTGCTTGCTTTTGTACTTCAGCGAGCTCTGCTACAGCCAAATATTGGTGGTCAAAGAAGAGCGAGGCACCCAGAAGTGTGCTTTTGGAGAAGACAGTGTGCTTTAGGAGGGGGTCGTGGTGCTTTCTGTCCCTCGAGGAGCTGACGGCCCTGTTCTGGAGGTGGTTTCTGGTGGTACCCGGTGCGAGGGACGGCCTTGTGCTGCTGAGGGGCACTGGGGAGCAGCCTCTGGAGAAGGGGAGGCACAGAAGCTGCGATGCCTGCGGTACCCACAGGGTCACCCCATGGAGGTTCCCCCAGGGGACAGCCGTGTCCCGGCAGGGTTCATCCTCAGGGACGGTCCCAGCGCTGCGGGGGGTTTGAGGTGCTCGGTTCAGTCGCCTCTGGGAAGGAGCTGGGGCTGGACACAAACACCGACGTCGTCTCTCGTGAGCTGGCAGCGCTGGCTTTCCACTTGGCTGCCAGGTTTGTGCTGTAAGAGACACCCCCCGAGCGCAGCGGAGACGGCTGCAGGACGCGTTTGTTTGATGGCTTCTGGTTTGCTGCGGCACATTCGCATTCAGCGCACGGGATTTTCTGCAAATAAAAGCGGTTTGTTTGAGGATTTCTCCCTCTGGCTAATGCCCGTTAAGCCTCCGCAGGAGCTGGCACGGTTGCTGCTTTCCCAAGCTTTGCCGTGTCCGTGACCGTCCCCTGCCTGGCAAACCACGGTCGTGAGCGACAGCGCCGGCTTTGGCCAGCGTCTGGTACCCAGGGAGGGGGCGGCCGCTGCGCCCCTGGCTGTGATGGGGGTGCCAGAGGGGTAAAACGGACCTGAATCTGTGCTGTACGTGGGGTGCACTCCTCAGGTCACTGAGAATTGGGATGGGTGTAGCCAGACCTCGCTGGGTTATGATGGGTGCGGGTGGATGGGGTGCCTGTGCTACCCCAAAACGTGGCTGCTCACGGGGGTGGGAAGGAGCCAGGGTTCCGCTTACCGACGGCCACACACGGGAGCACTGGTGGCAAATTTAACGTCCCGTTACAGAGAAAATCAGCTCCCGTTCCTGATCTCAGCGTGCAGTTCCCGTTTTGTCTCCCCAGAGCACGTCTGCTCCATCCTGGCCTCCCTTCTGCGAAACCTGCGAGGGCAGCAGAGGACGCGGCTGCTGAACAAGTTCACGGAGAACGACAGCGAGAAGGTGAGCGCTGAGTGCTGAGCAGCCTTGGGCTCGAGGGCCCTCGGTGACCGTGGGGCGTCTGTGTGTGCTCGCTGCGTTACCCAAAACCTGTTACCATGCCCACCCGTGGGGACTTGTGCTCTCCCAGCCGTCGTTCCCTTGCTCGTGTTGTCATCCGCTAGTGGAAGAACTGGAAATGCCTTCAGTGCTTGGTGTCTCACACCACAAGTGCTCCTGTTTCCCATTGCTCCTGCACGGGCTGTGTCTGTGCTGAGGGCTGGCCACCTCACACGTGTTTTGTGGTGGTAGCGGTGCTGGGACCACGCTGCTTACGTGAGACCGCGGCGGCGTGGACACGGGCAGTGTTCCCAGTGCAGCTCTGGAGCGGAGAGGTGAGGAGCTGCCGTAGTGCACGTGTGGCGTTCCCCCTTCCTCTGCTCCAGTGTGGCACTTCGGTGGTGTTTGCTCTAGGAAATTCTTCCCAAAATATTTACGTGGATCAAACGGCCGCGAAGCAGAAACTGCGGCTTTTGCAAACCAGCGGTTCCCCGGGGGGTTGTAAATTCCACCGCTGGGGAAACGTGGATTCCCTGGTTATCCTCATTAGTGTCTTAAGGTGTTTTCGTAACCTGTTCTACCAACTGCAGAACGGCCCCATTGCCACGTGGGCTTTCCATGGCCTGGTGCAGCTCGGAGGGGAGCGGGGCAGCCCTAAGGGGTCTGATGTGTGGAGTGTGAGCCTGGCTGAGTGCAGCAGGGACAGAGCTCTGCTGAGAGACCGGGACACGTGTGTGTGTGTGAGTGTGTGAGTGTGTGTGAGTGAGTGCTGCCTGCAGCTGGGCTGACAGAGCATATTGCGGTGTGTGATTGCATCCCAGAGCCTGCAGACTCTCGTCTGGTCTGACCGGCACCTCTGCTCCGTGCCGTGCTCCTTCCCCCGCGTGCCAGAGACGCCGTTAACTCCGTGAAGGCTGCAATGGGAGGAGAGCGACGCGGCGCGAAGGATTAGAGATGATTGCGTTGCTCTTTCTCCTCGCTCAGGTCTCTCTCCTCTGCCCTTGCAGGTTGATAGGCTGATGGAGCTGTATTTTAAGTACCTGGATGCAATGCAGGCAGCTGATAAGAAGATTGACGGGGAGAAACACGTAGGTATCGCTGACATTTTGCCAGCTCACGTTGACAGGAGCTCTGCACAGGGATGGTGTCTGCACGGAGCATTTAGCTCGGCCAGGCTCTTCCCAGCCCTATTCCTGTGCTCTTACCTCACTTGTTGCTCCACTCTCAGCTTCCAGTTCACCCCAGGTAAAATGGGCTGAGAACTCAGGTGCTTCTGGCCTTTTCTTAGAGGGAATTGTACTGGGGAGGCCTAAGCCTGTGCTTTGGTTTGCCTTTGCTTTTACTTGGCTGCAATTGGGCTTGGTTTGGCAGATGGGGAGTAGTGAAATGAGACAATTACACGATAATGCACGAGGCCTCCCCCCCCGGTCTGTCGGGTTCTGGTGGGCTGTGAGAACGCCTGCATTTCGATCGGTCAGATGAGGCCACAGCCGGCGGCTGGTGAGCTCCCCACCCAGCAGTGACTCATTTGGAGCCACGGCACCACGCAGCCCTGCCTTGGAGCTGGAGCCGGAGCAGACTTTTCGGAGGAGAGCGAGCTGCTGGAGCCAGGAAGCAGCTTGCAGAGCTGTTAGCGAGCTTGGCTGGCTTCCCACGAGATGATCAGTATCGGCGCTGAAGAGGCTGCGAGACTGATGGGCGCTGATGGGAGCGATTGCTGCGGGCGAGCTCAGCGTGCCAGGGGCTGCAGGCCCCGCCGGGCTCCCCAGATGCTGCTTCCTCAGGCAGGGATGAACACTGTGAGGGCATCGCAGCTCAGGGTGTGGGGTGAGCGACGGGGGCCGTGCTCCTGTGCCAGCGCTCAGGCTCCGTGGGCGGCAGCAGATCCACAGCGAGCGGTGGCCTGGAGAAAAGCAGCCTTTGCCCTCACCTGCCGTCCCTCTGCTCTGTCCGTCCTAGGAACAGAGCAAGAAGTGATTTATTCTTCATGTTTCAGTGTCGATATGGGGGGTTTAGAGCTCAAAAATCAGAGTGGGCTTTACTGCCCTGTGGTGTTTGAGCAGCCGCTGTGCAGGACCCTGAGACACAACACACGGAGCAGTCCCACAGCAGCCTGCAAATGTTCACACGTGTAGCAGGCAGCCAGCACAAAGCAGGGGCGAAGGGAATTTGTGGAGACGCTTGTGTGGAAGCTGTCTAATTGATATTAACCCATTTGTGTCCACCCGTGCACAAGAGAGACCAGAAGCAGCTCAGGTTTTCCTCCTGTATCCCCAAGGCCGCTGTGCTGTTCCCCGCTGCAGGGCTCTGTGGTCTGGAACGAATGGATCCCAGTTCTTCGCTCCTGCTAGAGCTGATGACAGGATTTGTGCCGTGCATTGGACGCATATGTCTGAAATCCCATGCTGAGGGTCGTTCCTGGCTTGGGACGCTCTTGGAATCGCTGTTTGCTGCGTTAGTGGTGTCCTGACGTGGGCCGTGGGAGGTGGTCACTGAGCTCTGAAGCAGCTCAAGCGCTTTCCCACGCAGAAGCAGGCGGCAGCCGTCGTCCTGTCCCTCCACGCGGGCTGTGCTGTGGCAGGATTTATGGAGCGCTCGGCGTTGCTGGTTGCGGCACATGAATCGTTGAAGGGGATGGTGTGAGCGCTCGGGGCTTTAGAAGCTGCGCTGTGTCACTTGAGGGCGTTTGACCTCCGCTCTCGCAGCAGAGGATGCGGAACCCCCAAAATCTGCTGTGCAGATCCTCGCCTTTCTCCGTGCCGCAAAGAAAACCGGTACCTGATGAGACTGTTCGAGCGCAGCCCGCGCTGCTGAGATCCAAGCCTGATGGACAGGGTATCCTGGTGTAATTCTGGCATTACAAGGAGTGCAGACCTGATTATACAGCAACAAGCGAGTGCTCCGTGCTGGGCGCTTTATCTGCACTCGTGCAGCTGGCAGGGG